TCCTACAGAAACCTTCGAGGAACGGAAATAAACGAAAATAACCTTTTCCTAAAAAATACGAAATTAATCTACTACTGCTGGTGGGCCTAAGGCGATGTGCCGGCCTGCTAGCCCGCGGTTGTTCACGTGTTTGCCGATCTGCGAGGGACGGTTCTTCTCCCCTGGGGCGGCTGGGCCTAGGCCCCTACGCCTCACCACCGCCGGCGTTTGCCGGAGATCTCTCGCGGAGGCGTTGCCTCAGCGGCTACATCGCTCCAATCTGACGGTGATTGAGGGATAATTGTTGAATCAAACCGAATTCCTTCATGAGTTCACAGCAATGGAGAGCGACAGCGCGTGGCCTACTAGCCTGCGCCCACCACCGTCGCCCGAGCGGGTGTCTGAAACTGACGTTTAGGCCGTGTTTAAATCCAGGCACTACAGCTTAGGGTGTCACGTCAGGTATCACATCGAGGTGTCATATGGAAGTGTTATGCGGTGGATTGTCTGTTCCTGGGGTCGGCAGGTACGGGGAGGCCGCGTAAAAGCATCGTCGCAACAGTGATGTTCTGGCTAGCCTGAGCAAATTGAGGGGGGTTGTTCCCTCCGTCCAGAATGTTACGCTGAACCTGACGGGCGTGACTCCGAGCGCCGCTCGTTGGGTTACGCGCATGTGGCACAGCGTGCTGCGCCGAGCGTGCCAGCGCATGTAGCGGCTAGCTCTGCCGCCTTTGTCGTAACTCCTCGCCGTGCTCCTGTGCACGCGCCAGGGACTTTGCATGGGGGTCCGAAGGGGTGTGAGTCTGAAGAGACTCCACTACCACCGGTGGCTGTCCCGGGGCGTCTGCCATAGCGCACTCCCGGGACAGAGGTGGCCAGGTGCCACGACACCGCCGATGCTGGAGCCGTCGCTTTCGACCTTGTCATCGACGAGGTCATGGAAGGAGGCGGGAGTGTAGCCCGCCATCCCCACGATCTTGGACGTGAGAGGGGGGCGGCTTCAGGATCCTTCGGAGCCCCCGCGCGCACGCGTCCATGGGGGATGCAAAGCCGTAGGGGAACCGGTCGCACGGCGGTCGCGGTGGGGACAACAGGGTCCCTCCAGGGAGTCAGCGGAAGGTGTTAAATAGTGAGTAAAGAACAATATGTACATCACTCACAGTGGGGTTTGAGCCCAGCATGGGCTCGAGGCGAAGCGCGAGTGTCTCGACGTTGAGGTCGTCGAGTGGCCCAGGGCCAGTGGAGGGCGCTCCTCCTCCAGTGGACGTCGAGACGAGCGCCTCCTCGCGGAGGCGGAATATGCCGAGCTAGTCGGCGACAAAGTCCAGACTCTCAAAGAGGAAGGTCTAAAGTGACATTAAGACGGGAGGAGCCCACATCCCATCAAGTGGGAGCGTGGGAAACTTCAGCGAGCCAAAGCGAATCGTATCGCTCGAGCCCGCCACGCCGAAGATGGTGGAAAGGTGGGCCATCCGATGACCAAAGGCGTGAACGCACGACGTCCTCCCCACGGACGGCGCCAACTGTCGGTGCGAAATGTAGCCGACAAGTAAATATTTGTAGTTTTGCCATGCGTTGTGATCGGATGCGGCCTAGCACACGATGACACAGGATTTATACTGGTTTAGGCAACGTGCCATACGTCCAGTTTTAGTCGGTCGGTGACTTTATTCCTGAGCCTAGGTGCTCAAAGTTTGTTGTGGGGTTACAAACGAGTAACAAGGAATGAGAATGTGGGTGTTAGAGGCCCGGTCGGACTCTGAACCGAATGGAAGAGTATGATGGGTGCTCTAACGTGCGCTAAGTATTGGAGCGTATGCTCTGTGTAGCTGTCGAGTTCTAGAGTTGTTGAGCTATTCGAGTCCTTAGGTCATCGAGTCATCGAGTCGTCTAGCGTCCCTCTGTTGGCAGAGAGCGCATCTTCTTTTATAGGTGAAGGGATGGCCTTACGAGTCAAAGAGAAAGAGAGAGAGAGAGAGCGTCGACGCGTGCTATCTAGTCTTGTTGCCCATACTATCGGGTATGAGATGGCTTCCAGCGCCCACAATACTGTTCATGTCTAGACACGTCTAGCAGGCTCTGCCGTGTTCACCTAGTACGGCAAACGACAGCACCCACAACACTGTTTATGCTCTGACACGTCTGGAAGGTTGTAGAGTGTCCGTCTGTCATAGCCTGGTGGCACCGTCCTGCAGGTGCGTAGGGTATGGCAAGGTATGGTTCTCGGTATTGCGGTTGACTTGAATGTCTTATCTTATCTGCTCCACCTGCGCCCTAGGCCCACACCGAGCGGGCGTCCCCGGTCAGTTGCTCCTAGTTGGCCTCGATCGTGTTAGTCGAGAAAGAGCAGCGAGCAGAGGTCTGGCGTATCCTCGGTCGGAGAAAGGTGGGTGGGTGAGGCGGAGCCTGTGACCCAGAGGTCGGGTGAGGCGGAGCCCATGACCCAGAGGTTGGGCGAGGCGGAGCCCGCGACCCAGAGATCGGGCGAGACGGAGCTCACGACCTAGAGGTCGGGCGAGGCGGAGCCCACGACCCAGAGGTCGGCCCTTTGTACCCCTCACTCTAAAGGTGCCCAGAGCGGTTGTCGAACCCATCGGTGGGCCAAACTTTGAACTCCTGGGCCTAGACGGGTCGTAGGAGCGTTTTAGCTCCGTATCCCTCTTTCCTGTGACGGGTCGTGGCCCGTTCGGGGAGGCCCTGGTCGGAGGTGCCATTCAGGGACCGGATCGTGGTCTTGGCCTATTATTGTGTATCTGGGCCGGTCCAGGCATGTGTTGTCGTTGCGCCGCCTGCTGGGCCGAGTTTTGTATGGAAGCGGGTCCATTGTGGACTCCGGGTTTATGAACCCAACAAGTTGTGTCATGTATCGTAATGTAAACTAAAGCTTGTAATCTTATTTGTAGACTTCACTACTCATTTATAATATATCAAATATGGATGGTTTCGAGTTCTTCCGAATGGTGGGCTCGACAGATGACCAAATTTAAGTTAAACATCACATACTTAGTGTTTAATGGTGGGCGAGTATGCACATGATCAGTTTAAATTGTCGGTTCTGCCACACTATTTTTTGCTACTTCACTTGCAAACCTTGTCGTATTTCACCGTGAAAGCGTGTTGTTATCCGCTGCATTCTTTGGTCCATCTGCGACCTAAGCTCGCTAGCTCCTTGTGGTGTTTGACAGATCTTTGCATCAACATTATCTTTGGCAGTTGCCACCGAATAAGAGCACGAGGTCTTTTGCGAGAGAGCACTAGTGAGCGACAACAGCGATGAGGCGTTGGGCCCAACTGGAGAGAAGAGTTGTCCTTGTAAACATGGGCGTGCGTTGCACCGAAAGCTAATAGTATTAGAATGTACCATCACTGGATACGAGCTGTTCTAACTCGCATATATGGTACATGGAGGATGCAATGGCATTTTAGAAAGTTAAAAAAAAGATAGGCCAAAGAATCACTTCTCTCTTTTATAATATAACAATATGCCCTTGTGTTACAACAAGGGAAAATAAGTTATCGAATATTTATGGGAAACAAGAACACGAATGCTCTTCTTCTTTTGATAGATTTTTTCTCCTGTGTAGAACACAAAAAATATTTACTCATAGATATATCATAACTTTAATTTTAGACTACCCATATATTATTTCAGTTATTAAATATCGAGAAGGAGACAATTGCTAGTATGTCAAGTATCAGTCATCTATCCACCGATGATTATGACGTTAGACCTCTCCCTATTTTTCATGTGGTGGTCCTTGTCGAGGATTATAGTGGTGCATATGTACATCATGGAAACAAACATAGGAAAAAGGTAAATAAAAACATAGGAAAAAAGGAAAAGAATAAAAAAAACTCTTTATTTTGTTAAAACTATGTTAAAAATTGACGGTGAAATCTTTATTTTGTTGATTTTGTTCTTTGTTTTTTATACTTATGACAAGAGAGACGAAAAAGATAGAAAACAGACGTATGTAGAGATATAGAGTGTATATATAGAACGACGAATTAAAAGAAAACGCTTTGCTTTTTAATATTAGGTAGTGATAATCGACAACGCTTTTGCACGGTTTGTTTTAAAAAAAAAATCTTAGAGAAACATGTTGCCTTGGGCCCAGCGGCAGTAGGTTACTTTGTATATTTCCATTTGGGTCCTTGTATTAACTTGGTCCTATCGTTCAACCCCCTCTGATTCGGCCAGTCAGGAACCGTACGATACGACTAGGCTGCGGTGGAGCGTTCTTGCCAAGCCCTCGCCGTCGCCGCCGCGCCTCCACGCAGTTGCTCGCGGCTAGGCGCCTAGGCGTTGCGGTCTTGCAGATCCCTTGAGATTGTTCGCCTCGAGCCCTCGACGGCAAGTTTTTTTTTTTTTTTGACTGACGGCAAGCAAGCTGGAGACGTTCTTTCCTGCTGCAGTGTGAAGTTACTTGGAACAGGACAATGGCCAAACACTCTAATTCCATAATTTAAGCTTTGTTAAGTGACTACTTTTTTTTTGCTTGTTTCATCGTTAATTTTTACTTAAATTTTCCTCAGCATCAGAAGACTTCAATTTAATGCAGACTATGATTCATGCTTATAACCTAAATTAAAGTTTGCACTTCCTCTTGACCTGCTTGGAGCTATTTGGCATGAAACTGAAAATTCTGAGAAACAGGTTTTTGCAGTGTGGCCTTGGCAGGATGAATTTGGACCTGAACCCTGAAGACTTCATAGTTCAGACCAATGCAGGATATTGCCGAAGGAATATCTTGATGTTCCGTCAGGCTGTATGGCCAGTAACACTTAACACATCAGAACGAGTTTGCGAAGTCCTGACCGAATTGTTTTACTTTTATTATGTCAAGATGCTGTCAGGTCAATTTACAGGTCATATGGAAAGGAGTAAACATCACTCCTGTATTACTCAGAGACCTGGTTCATCTGTTATCTACAACTCAGCAGAGTGAAACACATGATGGGGTCAAAACCTATAGTGAGTGGCTTAACACCCTAAAACACATTCAGATTGGTTGAGCAGTTCAAGCATCACAGAGCCCGCAACTTTTGCGGCAAAATCCATGAGTATCCTTGGTGCCAACCATGTATGTTGGGTTCTTGTAACACTCCCCAATAGCAGCCCATTTAGGGCAGAGCTCATTGTCATCGGAACATGGCGCGTCCGTCCTTACATTTGGAGGATTATCGAATGATCTGACGTGAATCCATTTCGTTGCAGACCACTTCTCACCCTCAATTACTGGGCAGCTCCCATGAAGACTACTTGTATCAGTTGTTGCATTGAGATGAAGACCAAAGAACAGTAGCGCGTCTCCTTTTTTTGGCTTCACTGCAGGAGAAGAGCACAGCCTTGTCATGGGAATAGGACAATGCACAACTTTGTTTGGGGCTACTGAAGTAAATCGTCAATGCCGATAGAGGCAGATCAGCTCGGAAAAGTATTACTTTTAATATGTAAGAGGCTGAAAGATACCTGCCAGGCCAGATCTTGAACACTCTGACCAAGTTTCATCCTTGTACTGTAAATGGCTTCCCTGAAAGCAACATGCCAAATGAATCCATACGTTCCTGATCAAATAAGTCACTCTAATTGCAAAAACAAATAACTGAAGTAATCTCAGAGCTCTATTTTCAAAGGCAGAGAAATAATCTCAGAAATAGGTGTGTACCTCAGCATTTGGAAATACAGTCTCTCCACCCTTCTTGACATCTGTCAAGTACATAAGGACAGTTGCAATTCGCTGACCGCCACGCTTCACGTTATTTTTGTCATGAAAATAATCAAAGTGGGCATCATACTTTTGACCGATTTCATAGCGCAGAACCTGCATTGATTCAGCGTTTTCTGAACGAGAATCATAGCAACAGTCAGAGAATGTCCATCTAGCTCCATGAGGGCATGAGGCAAATGACCCAGTGCAAATTACCTTCCGGAAGAAATGTCCAAGCAGCTACGCGTTTCTCAATTGCAGAGACAATTTTATCCTTTGATGGGTCAACAGAAAGAAGTACATCAGTGTTCACATCAGTAGGTGTTTGGGTTAGAGGGTATGCAAAGCTGTTTGGCATGCATGAATTGCCAGATGCAGTTCTGGCTGTATACGCTGTGTTTATACGTTCATTTCATATATTTCACCAGGCCGAAGGCCATAAATATCTTTCCAGTCAGATAAATAGCTACTTTGATCTTTTCAAGGGGTTTATTTTGTCGACACTGTACAAATTCACCTGTTTTAGTTATCATCAGTTAGCAGCAGTACTAGTATTCAGTCATCATGGCTTGATCTCAAGGAAAGACCACTGTCAGCAGATAAGCTGTCTTTTGCAAAAGGACTAAACAAGCACATGCTAAACCAGCAGTTCAATAGTGAATTAATCGCCGGTTATTACTACAGTACAAAGAAACATTTCTTGCTCACTTTGTCTCTACCGTGCCAATGCAGGTGCACATTGCGATGGCGATGAGAAGAGAGTTGGAACGAACGCACTCTGCCCTTGATCGAGCAAGAAGAATGCCACGGTGCAGAGTGATTACCTCGTGCTTGGCCAAGAAGGCGCCGGAGCTGGTGCGCACCTGGCTCATGAGGTTTTCCCCGGAGTCGTTATCCGCCACCATCGACTTCTCCATGCTGCCTTTCGCCTGAACCCACAAAAACGAAAAGGAAACTCTGTGAGCGCCTCTGGAACATCCTCGCCACCACGAAAAGCCTCAGCGGCGGCTGCAGAAAGGCCGACTCGCGAATCGATGAGGGAGAGGAACCCAACCCACCAGGTTGATGAGGTGGTCGCACTCGGTGTCCGAGAGGAAGCCGCTGTACAGGAACGCCCTGCGAGAGCGCACACGCCTGTCACTGTCAGCCACACGAAGAATGTAAAACCGCAGGCTGCGCGCGCAGCCGTAGAAGCAGGCTCAAAGGCGTTTCACGGTTTCACCTGGGGCGCCAGGACAGCTGGGTGACGCGCGCCGGATCGTAGAAGCCACCGCCGCCGCCGCCACCACCGTGGGCGTGGGAGACGACCCGCGCGAGCACGAGGGCGGCGATAAGGAGCAGTGCGAGCGGCGGCGCCATGGGGAGCTGGGGACGGATGTAAGAGCACGGCGGAGGCGGTCGTGTCGGTCTCTTATATTCTTGTTACTTTTTTAATAAAAAAGGGGGCGGCGAGACGCCGTCGGTGAGTACAGGAGGGAGGGCGGGGACGCGCGGTGTGGTCGGTCACCTGGATTCGGTCGGCGGCGGCGCCCTGGAATGGAGTGGAGCGGAGACCGGGAGACGCCAGACTCGAAAGCGGAAACGGACGGGCGCGAGGGGGAATTGAACATGCCGCCAGCCCGTGGAAGTTTTCTGTGGGCGAATACTACCGTATGCTTAAACCAGATTTAGCGCACCATATTCAAAGGCGTAAGACTTTGAAGCGGATTGCCTCCCGGCAAGAGAGGCACGCCGCTATGTATACATGTACATACATGTATGTTATAAATTATATGAAAAGGCATGTACATGTATGTATTGTATGTAAAAAAATTAATTAAAAAGGTGTATACATAGCGGTTAAATTATATGGTGCTATTGTATGTAAAAAATTAATTAAAAAGGTGTATACATAGCGGTTAAATTATATGGTGCTAGATATTAGCACCAAGCATTTTTAAATTTTTTGTTCCTCGTTCTCATCTAAGTTTTTGATACTTCAAAAACGTCTAATTGTATCATAATTGTCCTATATTCTCATTTTCTCATTTATGTCTGTCAAAATGTATTTTTTAGCTTACTAAATACTATTTGAGGACGGGATGATCTATGCCCACTGGCTCATGAAGACTCCAACTAAAGTATTAGTCAGGCCGTCCAGGCCCTCGTTCTCATCTATTTGCAAATGTATTTTTATGCTAGTATTGCAACGGGATGTATAAGCTACATTGTCGTTAGAATGTTAGATCAACATGCAATAAATAATTTAATCATGCTCGCGTATGTTATCCACGATAGCCATACAAACTTGCGTCTGTCGACACATGCCTAGGCGAAGCTGGGGCTAGTCCTTCTTTCTCCGTCGAACGGTTTCCACGGACGCGCATGCTATTATTTTTTTTGCGCGAGATATTTGTTGACGAGTTCTAGTTTCCATCCGCCGATCGTCGTCGCCTTCCGTTCGCCGCTGTTCTGCCTTCACGAGTGCGCCTGTGTCCAAGCCAGAGGAGCATCATTTAATTGGGCTTTATTAAATCAAATAAATTACCAATCACGCGTGGGCGGAGCCGGACGGTTTGAAGAAAGTGCTCGGAACACCACTCAAGGCTCTCAGGCTACCACACGACTGGGATTGGAGTGAAACGTTTCGTCGCGCCTAAAAAACCTGGATTTTTAAGTCAAAAAATCAAAAGACGAGGGCTGACGACACCCCAAATGAGTTACAACGCTCCCCTCCATCTAGTCCGGTACGGTGCGCATCAGGCACAACATTGCTACCAACAGTTCTTGATGGTTTAGGATACAAACTCAAGGTAACTGGTTTTGTTCTATCTTCCCTGATGTGTTTCCTCCTTCACCTTGGTAGTCTGGTTGGCCCTTTCAGTTGACTTGGGCCAAGAGCCTTTGCCGCAACCCAACTACGCCCAATACATGACATGCTGTTTGATCAAAGGAGCTAATCATTAGCAGTTATCCCTCCATTCAAAACTAAAAGACATTTTGGCTTTTCTAGATACATAGTTTTTTTTTGCTATGTACTTATATATATATACACTATGTCTGATGCATGGTAAAAGCAATGTATCTAGTTAAAACATCTTATAATTTGGAATTGAGGGAGTAACTATTAGCTCTATTGATCCAAATAGGGTTTAGTCTAAACCTGCACCTTTTCTGCTCTATCTGAACTCATGTATTTCCGTTTGCTGGAATGGAAATAGGGCCCCGCGAAAGAAAAAAAGGAAAGCCAGTAGATATCAAGCTGTCAACGAACAAAGATGATACAGTATATATATGCGACTAGAGAGTTCAGAATATGACATACACATAAACCATCAGGGCTCCACCCTAGCTAGGTCAAATAAATTTGGCTTGTACGGAGACAGTCTGCGAACATGGATCTTCAGTGTTAGCATCAGCAGCTGAATCAACTACTGACCAAAAGAATGAACGAATGGTAACGAGGTCCACAGAGTACGAGTGCCTCAAACTCATCCTCGTGTTGTATCTCGATGATCAATCTGTTCTCCATTATACTAATCACTGTGCTGTCCATTGTCATCTTACGTTGCAGCATTGAGCGCTCCCAGCTTGCAACTTTCTCCACAAACAAATCATGTGTTGTGGGGATTGGTAGTGTGCGGTGAAATAACCATCGAAGCAGCCAGGCTGGTAGAACCTGACATCATGCAAATAATCTACAGACTGACGAGTAGTATTGAACTTCTCAACCCACATGCCCATACTAACATCTTCCATCTTGAATAGCTGTGTCATGAAAAACATAACCATTAGAAATCACACATTCAGACTCCATAATTAAAAAAAGCACTATTGCTGTATTCAATGACTAGAGATAGAGAAAGGGTATAACTGCTGTACTTACTCTTAGTGTCTTATTATCAAACTCTGATAAAATATATTGAGCAATATCCGATGAAATGACATAGCCAGGCCCATTAGCATAAGGAGGATACACTTCCTCTGGCCATTCCTGTTAGGAACAGAAAAACAAAGATCAAGTTTGTGTAGCGTAAATGTGGTATTGAACCACTAAACTGAAATGTAAGAAGCAAAGAATGTAACAAATTAAGTTTGGTATGAAACATATAGGGTCACCATACTGTCCAAAATAGCAATGATATTTGCAGGATTACAACTAGCTATGCAAGCTATTCTGCCAAAAGGTGCTGCTTTCAATTTCTTAACATATCATAACATATTTGAAAAGGGTAAATCATATTCAAGAGACTAAAAAGGGCTCATACTTGATGACCTAACCACTAACATACTGAATTCACACTAATCCTGTAGCCTAGCATTAAGGAGAGGCATAATGCACATGCGAAAGCTCTTTAACTGTACAGAAAAATAGAGTCTTACCTCATATGTGACAGACCATTTCCCAGATCTTAAGGGTCTGTGGTAGTAGTTTATATTTCCCACATAAATGCTCTTTCCACTTTGGACCTTGTTTACTTGATCCAATACAGATTCAATTCTGACAAATGTATCATCGTCACATTTCATTATGTGCTTTGCAGGAACAACCCTCACCTGAAAAATAGTTGCAATGTCATGATGAATTATGCAAACCATACTAATGCATGATAGAGGAACTAAAATAAATCCATTCACACAAATCCAAATTACGCACCCCATACTCAACAATGGCGATAGTTTTTAGAACAACAAGGTCATAGCTATCCATGAATGGAACTATAATAATGTCCCCAAAGTAATCTGCCTCCTCCTTCAGCTCTTCATTGGCCTCGTTTCTTCCATTCTGTGAAGCGTTTTCTTTATTAGATTTGGACAGAAAATTGCTATTGAACTAATAATTCAGCTGTAGAAACCTACCAGAGCAACAAAGAAGCGAGCAACAACATCAGATGCTCAAAAAATATGAAAAATCATATTTTTTCATATGATTTTTCTAAGATATATTAATGACATATTAATCATATCAAATCATATTTTTTACGAAATTAAATGAAGATAATTTTTATATGAAAATTATAGATCTCGACGAGATCTACAACTTTCTAGTTTTAAGTTTTTTTCATTTGAAGTCGTTAAAATACTCAAAAAAATTAATGACATATTTAGACATAAATGTATTTTGACTTTTCACACCTGCAGTTTGATGGCGTTAGAGCCCAAACTGACGGCAGTGACATGGCATGGAGGGCATAAAAAAGTTGGAGCAGTGACGTTGAAGACCGCTGAACTTTTTCAAGAGACACACAAAGCATTGTGATCTTTTTTAATGGCACACGTAGAATTCTCCCCAAGAGTTTTCGGGGGAGGTGTCGTGGTCGTCAGGTCGTGGAAGTGGAAGGAGGACTGGGAGTTGATGTGGCGTGGGTTGTTTAAAGACCAGACCGTTGCGGTAGCACCGTGTGGGGGTGGGGTGGGTCAGTGGGTGGGGCAAGCAGGAACGCACGCGGCGTTCGTGATCCCGGCCCGACGCCACGGCTTCCGGTAACGGCTTTGTTTCACCCAATTTTGCTCGTCAGCTTACCGGCGAACCTCAACTTCTCTGACTGGAACCTGAACTTCTCTCGTGTTTTCTTCACGTAAATACGTCGGTACGGGTTGTTACCCACCTGCGGACTGTCGTCGCGACACGGCAGGAGTGCAGGGGTGGAAGTGGAGGTCAGAGGGGAGGTCGGCAGATTGCAAGTTTGGACGACGCCGGGAAGGGAAAACAGGGACGAGGAGCGACGCAGATTGTGCGCGCGCGCGCACACACGCTATGGTCCACGCGCCACCGACGTGATGAAGCCAGCGAGGGAGGCCGCACGCGGGACGTGGCGCCACCGGCCCGGACACTGGGTTGTCACGTTAGGTGCGGTTGCGGCGCGTGTTGTGTTGAAGTAGGAGATGGATTGGGTTGGCTTGGTTGGGTCTCGAAATCGGTATGTCTAGCGCTCAGACAGGACGTCGCGTCCAGACGTGGCTCCGCACATGTGCCGCTCTCACGTCCGCATTCCGCCTCACACCCCGCGTCTCGCCCCCAGCACCCGGGCCCGCGTCCGTCACAGGGACCCGCGTCCACCCCACGCCTCGCACAGCGACAACCACCGGCCGCGCCGTGCAACACTCCGATCCACTTTTGCAACATCAAGATGAAACATTTGCAACATACGTCTAAAACAGATGAAACATTTGGAACATATAGTTGAAACACCATTGCAACATGTGTAACATCCCGATCTACTTTTAAAAACATCCAGATGCAACACTTGCAACACATAAAAGAAGACACATGAAACACTTGAGACGTGCATCTGAAACACTTGCAACATACGTGTAAAAAAACAGATGAAACATTGGGGATAAACGCTTGCAACATACATGTAGAACCATTACAACATATGCAACAACCCGATCTACTTTTGCAACATCCGCATGAAAACAATTGAACACATACATATGAAAAACAACACTTGAAACATGGGGTTGCAACATATCTAAGAAGCGTCCAGAAACACTTAACACAGCATCGCCGCGCGGCCATGACCTACCTAGTGGGCAACTGTGGTGGCGCAGGCTCGCTGGCTGGTGCGTGCTTGCAAGCCCGCCGTTGGCCGAGGGAGAGGAGACGCTGCCGGATCTGGGGAGGGCTCCGCCGACCGGGGGTAGGAGAGTGGCAGCGGTTTGCTTGGATCTCGCTGGGGTGGACGAGAGGGCCACCGGATCCGCGGGCGTTGGACGCTCCCGGTGGGTGAGGACGCCGGGTTGGGGGAAGGGGCACCGCCGAGGTGGGGGAGGAGGCTACTAGGGTGGGGAGGAGGACGCCGGGTAGGGGAAGGAGCCGCCGGGGTGGAGGAACGAGGACGCCGGGGTGGGGGAAGGAGCCGCCGGAGTGGGGGAGGAGAATGTCGGGGTTGGGGGAAAGAGCCGCCGCTAGCCAGGGAAGCAGCCACGTCGTCGGGTGTGGGGCAGGACGCGAAGGGATAAGGATGAGGAGGGGCGCAAGTGCTACGAGATTGAGCGGTGGGAAGCGACCGTCCGTCCGGACGTCTTAATCATATCGTTATCGTCTTCGAAAGACGCGATGATCCTACTCCCTGCGTTCCGCATGGGTGCATAGTCAGTCAGTCCAGCAATTTTTTTAAACCTTTTTTCAAAATCATATTTAAAAATAACGTCAAACCACGTGGCGGAGCAAATTCACTCAGTCACGTCACGCGACAAATGACCCATTTAGTAGAGCTCTCACTTCAGCTAAAGCTCAGGTTTTGATTTCTTGATAGAGTAGCTTTGCCTTCACTTGTTACAAAAAAAAATATTTAGTAAAACATCTCCTTATTTTACCATTTTGTTAGAAAAATGTTTGGCAAAATATCCCTTATTTTACTATCCGTGGTTGCAATGCATGGTAGCTCTTTGAATTGGGCCACTATTCAGCAACCAATGTGCAAAGGAGCCCAGCGGGGGAGCAAATAGCGAATTCCAGTGGGCCAAAGATGCAGATCAGACAGCATAGGGCCTCTGCCTCTCGTGCGCAAACTGTTGCACGATAAAAGATTGTTCAGCAAAATTGCTCCCCAGTTCATCAACATTCCCACGTCTATAATTGGCAAAGTTACAGATCACCGTTTCTAGATGGAAAATTTTGAACTATTTGTTACCATCGACCAGTTTTAGGATTGAAGAGAAAGCGCCCTGTTCGCTTGGCTTATAAGCCGTACTTTTTCAGTCAACGAACAATATTTTTCTCTCACAATAAATCAGGCAACAGTACTTTCAGTCAGGCAAACAGGAAACCCTCTGCAGGCTGTATAGACAATTATAGCCCATCTATGAGTTGCCCTGTTCGCTTGGCTGATAAGCCATGGTTGAAAATACTGTTGGCTGATTTATCGTGAGAGAAAAATATTGTTCATTGGCTGAAAAAGTACAGCTTATAAGCCAAGCGAACAGGGCGATAATAGTTGACTCACCATTTGCGCCATTTCAACAACTCTTGCCGGCCATCTGTTCAATACCTGCTGTCCGGGCAACAATTTTTATTGGGATATAGAAAGTTGGCTCAGATTAAAAGCACGGAAAGGCAATATGAATGCAGTGGAGCAAATTCATTTTGAATGCCTCTTGTGTGTCCAGAAGACAATGATAATCATGAGCTACGTGTCTTATTCTTGAATTACAAAACTAGGACACCATAGTCCGAGCAAGAAGCCACGGAAGGGCTCCAACATTTCCCTCCTACCTCGGTACCTTCAGTCTGACAGAAAATAAACAGTCCATGTTGCAGCTCCGAGTTAGCACCACGACAACTGGAAATCTTCGAGCTTCATCAGGGGACGAAAGCACTGTTGCTGGTTGTAAGAAACAGAGGTCTGATCCAGAACCCTCCTTGCTAGCGGTTGATGGGGGTATGCATCCGCTCGACGATTCTGTTGATAGCGGCCCGAGTCATTACAAGGGTGTCATGCTGGAGGATACTGTAAACATTGAGGCCCTGCGTTTCATGAAATGCAGAATGGTCGTTTAGCCAGAAAAAAAGATATTCCAAGCAAAGAACACTTAGTTTGATTACTCAAACCTCAAGTACTGAAATCACAGAACTTACAATGGAAGGAAGTACATTAACATAGTGAAGGTTTTGAGTAGCCAGCTTTAGCTTCTTATCAATGTCGCCTCCATCCACCAACAGAACCTTCTTTGTATCATCCATCTGGCTAACGTATTGCACAATGTTTTTCGTCTTGTGGCTAGGGACTTCCAAGTCCTCAAAGACCAAGAACTATACAAAAAAAAACATGGACCAGTCAATTTCAAAGCAAACAATGAAATTCATAAGGGTTTTTTTCCTGCAGGACAGAAAAGTTCAAGAGTGCTCTGAATGCGTGCAGATTAAAATTTTATAACCACGTCGGAGAACATTGATAAAACATATTATCATATGCCCATATTGTTTTTTACAGTTAACTTTAAGGAAAGCAGGGAAACAATGGTACTTCCTCCATTCTAAATTATAATACGCTTTGGCTTTTCTAGATTTATAGCTTTTGCTACGCATCTAGATACATATTATGTCTGCATACATAATAAAAGCTATGAATCTAGAAATGCCAAAACGTCTTATAATTTGGGATGGAGGAAGTAGTAGATAATAATTCAACTTTTTGTGAAAACATGATCCTCGTAAACTAAGTTGATGTTAGTGTGACTAAGTCCGTAAAAGCTAAGGGCTATGCTAAACATGAACAATTAAATATTAGTGCATACATTTTTAACAGAATGCAAGAGCATTCATAAGGCCACACTCTCAATGGGAGTTTCATTCTCATTAAATATCGTGTTATGTCAGGTTTTTTGATGATGTGGCGAGGGATTAATGAATAGAGAGATCAAATGAGTTTTATCTAGATGAAACTATGTCTACACTGTTTCCAATACAACTTGTCTCTTGCATGTACTGCCTATGAAATAGAAAGATGAAACAATCCATTGCATAAACCATTTCAATGTTACCAAATTGTGCAGTCGACCCTAGTCATCATGGGACCGACCAGACGACTAATCGTGATTAGTCTTGACCAGCCTGATTAGCCGAGCCTGGTCGGTCCTAATTGTCCATATAATCATCCTGCATATTCCAGTACGATATACCATATAGCATGTAGTATAAAGCACGCAACAAGAGTGTAAATCACTAGGGCACGGATTCTTGTGAGATTTGACGGCCAGTTGGCCGCTTATCAACATCTGCACATACATCACACAGCCACATAGGTGTATGTAAGCTCTAAGCAAAGAGCAGCAGCCGAGAGCATGAGGCAAGAACAGCAGCAGCAGTAGAGCTAGAGCAGCAGCAGAGCTAGAGCAAGGCAGAGTCACAGAGGTGCAGAGCGCCAATCAAACACACACGCAGCATAGCAGAAAGAAGATGGAGGAGGATTGGAGGACCAGAGGAGGAGCTCATCTTCAGGAATCGGGATGGAAGAAGGGATCTGGTTGGCAGTGGCAGAATTCGGCGTTGTTGCTGCCTGTGGGACGGAATCCAGCCTCCAGCAATGGTTGCACTCAGAGCAGGCATGCAGGCACCCTGCAGCAATGGGAGCCAATGGAGATTTGTGGAAGAGGTCCCGACAGGGATGTGAACCAGTGGCCGCATGCTCCTGGGCTGCGGTGAGCTCTTGGGTGGCGCAGCGGCGGCTGGACAGCGGATCAGCACACAGGAGAGGCAACCTCCTGCTCCTAGGCTACTCTGGATAGGTATATATTCTAAAACCTAATTGGTCAAATGGCAGCCCACCAGCTCGCCGAAGTCCAGTTGCTCAGGCAGCCCAATGCACAACATGAAAGCTAGTCCTTTTCCATCCTAATCAGACCACTAATCGTGATTAAGTGACGGTTAGTCAGTCGACTTGGAATCTGGTCAAACAAATCGAGTCGGTGGACATAATCATAGTCGTAGGACCGATCCGTCCGATTAATCGACATTTGACAACTTAATAACACTGGGCCATTTCATTCATCATTTCAATACACTATTGCATATGTGGCACTATTGGAAATATCAATATGAAATCTTCCACTGAGAATGGCCTAAGAGCCACACCAGAAAACATCGCATAAAACAAACATGTATTGTCAGCTAAATAGAGTTTAGCAAACAACAATGCAGTTCAGGAAGGTAGGTAAAAATAGTCAGCTCACAGTAAAATCTGGCAACAAACAATTGAACCTGTCGTGAAAACATGATCGTAGGAACTTAAGTTGATGGTAATGTCATTAAATCGCCCCATATAAGAGAACAGCCTGTTCATATATAACTTCAGGGTTAAATATGCAACGGGGACAACACAGGGCACCACGTAACAAGATATTAATTGACACTCATCAGCTCATAGTTATTTACAAGATCACATGTGGTTGGCAACTTATCCTATCATCCTAAAAACTAAAGAGGACCTAGAAAGTCAAGATATTGAAAGGAGTTCAATTGTAACATTTACAAAGATGTTACTTTGTGAAAAATTGCAAAAAAGTTGTGTAGTTTCAAAAATTAGTAAGCATGTTTCTTCGTAGAGCACACTATCAAACTATGATTAAGTATAGCAATTCATTTGTCAATAATAATTTTGTAGATATAATGATAGTTATTAACCAAAAGTGAGCACATCAAAGGACATATATATTAATTTAGTAGATAGCAAATACCTTCCCCTCTGCAGTTCGAGCAGACAAGGCAATCTTAAGCCCCAGCCGTCGTACTTTCTTCTGCAACTTGATTGCATGGCTTCGTGGTTTAGGCCCATGCATGGTTGCACCACCACGGAACTGTTATGTCCAGAATTTAGTTGACTGGCTCCAAACTGGATAATATGTTTCAAGCAATCTCAATATGAATATAAGTACATTATTCATTCAGTTATAAACCTGGGGACCGCGCAGTGTTCCATGCCGTGCTCTTCCAGTTCCTTTTTGCTTGTAAGGCTTTCTTCCGGTGCCACTCACTTCACTGATAGTTTTAGTTGAGTGTGTCCCCTGTAAAGACAAAGGGCTTAATTTGTTAGAATACAGAACTGTCATTTTGTCAAGATGACATACATCAGTCCAAGAATTCCATAAGTGAAGGCCAAGCAAAAATATATTGAGTGATCCTATTGGTGCACCTGCTGTCTTTTAGCAAGCTGCCACCTTACTACACGGTGAACAATATCCTTCCTAATTGGAACATCAAAAACATCACCATCCAAAACCATGAAGCCCTTGTCCTCATTATGGAAGTTTGTGACCCTAGCTACCAGGTCTTCATACTGCCCTGCAATATTATAACAATGCAGAGGAATCAAAATTCAGCATATTCTTAATTCAAAAGAAAATCAACATTACTCATAAATAACTGCAATACTGCAGAAATGGAGTGAAGCTTCATTGAAGTCAAATTTTGGTCCAATTAGGTAACAAACAGTAAGCAAAGCTTTAGCTGACGAAAGATAAGATGGTAAGTCATATGATAGATCATTTGTCGTTAAAAGAAAATTGAGAAGACTAGTATTGAAAGAAATGCCACTAAAATAGTGATTCAAAACTAGTCAATAGGGGGAGAACTTACCAAGCTCCTGATCTGGTGTCCACACAGTCCTGCTAGAAAGAAGTTCTGGCGGAATCAGCACTTCACTTGGTGGAGCCAAAAGAGTAGAATACCCATTGAAAAAGAAACCTGGCTGATTCTGGAAATGGAACAAGTATTTAAAACAAAAGTCAATGCAGAACTCATGTGCAATCAAATATACCAAAAACACATTTGCAAATGGAGAGAACGGAAATAGACTTCTTAGCAGATGATTGGATGTAATAAGCTAGATCTTGGCAAAAAGATAAGAAAACTTCTATGTTGAAATCTTGATACCCCAAAGTGCTAACAGGACAAATATGATTGATGCTTTCCTACCAGATAAGTTAATGCAAAAAAATGATACAGAAGATTGGAGGATGTAATAGTTGTAGATTTCGCAGCAGCACATGTCCCCGTTTCCATTAACAAGAACGATCAGCAAAGCAAAAGCAAGAACAGGAACAGAAAGACAATGGGCAGAGCAAGTTTGAGGGGGCAGACAGAGCATATGTCATCACATGTAATCCACTAATTCAAGATCTATTCAGACGTAAAATTTGATAATAAAGCCAGATATAAAATCCCTCATCTCTGAAGGCCTAAAAACTGTATAAGGTAAACAGGCAAATTCACAGGACTAGCCACAGTACCACACAAGGAATAGAATGAACGGAATAAGCAATTGGGCTAATGTTCAACTGAAATACAGGATTGGCACCTACAACCACAACTAATGTAACGAAATTGCTGCTATATGTTTCTCAAGCAAGGCCTCAGACACAAAATTGATACCTATATATGCCAAAATGGTTCAGTGCTTAAGATTGAAACCTCTTCAATGCTACTGACAGTAATTGCTGAAAAGGGGCTTCATTTTGCGCTTCCCTTCACGAACCTTGGAATGAAGCAATCCTTGTAGATACGCCAACTAGCATAATCCTCAAGACTAAACATAATTGCAGTTGAGTGAAAGCATCAAATGTCTGCTAAATCACTAGATTTCAAGCTGGATTCAGGCAAGTGACCAGAGCAATCTAGCACCTAAACCACAGCTCTAGCGGTCTAGCCTGAAGCAGGCCCATTTCCCATCCTACAAGGGACCTATAAGATGTTCTAACAGGCAGACTGGAACCGCTGCCTGCGCCAGCACCGCCGTGGAGAGCCAGGAGACGGCGCACGGCCGCACCGAGGACAGGGGGAAGGGAGGAAAAGAGACGGGGTCCAGACCTTCGCGAGGCACGGGCCTACGCCCGGCGGCGGGCGGTGTAGCGCTGCCGTAGTGGGCGCGGACACCGCGGCGCGGCGGAGCAGCAACGCAGCGCGCGCGAGGGCCCGCATCGGGTGGGGGGAGAAGGGGCACGCGGCGGCTGGAGTTGCGCCGGCGGAAGAGAGCGCGGAGGCACGGACACCGATCCGCGGCGGCGCTTCCTCTCTTTTGCCTGTTCGCTTGGGGCCTTTGCCTTTCAGCAACAGCACGCGCGCAAGCCCACGGACCACTTGCCCTCCTCGTTCGAGATGGTGGGCCGATAGTCGGTCCATGCCGGCCCGCTCATTTTACTATGCATTGGTCTGCCAACTCCTATGACGGATATAGAACCGATACAATAGAGAAGATAAGAGTAGGTTGCTCTCATGTTTATATCTTATACTAGATTAATGCACGTGCGTTGCACGGAAATCAAATAATTTTTTCACATGATGATCTATTAATTTTTAGATTTGAAATATTTCATATTTTTAGATACGAATTTATGTTTTCTATCTATAAATATAATATTTAAATTTTCAATATTTTTAGAAACATTTTTGCACTAAAAACATTATTTGTGATGTCAGCATAAATATTTATGATCGCATCAATAACTTTTGTAAGAAGTATATATATAAGGTATAAAAGCTCAGCTTTGGGAAGGTCATTTGCCGGCATAGACCTTTGTGCGATATAGACAAGTTTCTCTAGTGTAGAAACATGAAACAGAAGGTTTATTAAAGTAAGTAGAGGGGCTAGATTATAAGAAGGAAAAAAAATCCAAATTACCCCCCTCAACTTTCGCGAATGTCCGCTTTTCCTCCCTGAACTCTAAAACCGGGCAAAACACCTCCCTCAACTTTTAAAACCATTCATCTTACCTCCCTGGCCCGGTTATAAGTGGTTTTGAAGGCGGTTTTATCTTTTTTTTTATTTATTTCGGACAAATCTTTAAAAAATCATAGTAAATCATAAAAAATATAAAATGGAAAATTTAATTTTGTTGGACTCCACATGATTAGATCTACACAGTGAACATATAATATGGTATGCTTTAGTACAAAGTTTTTGTTGTAGCTTTAGATATATGCTTTTCTGTAATTAAATAGAATAATTCATAGCCGCAGTTTCTATGATCCAATTGTGGTGAAATTTTTATGGTGGACTAATTATTGTATGGTTAAACTGTAGTAAAAATTTCATACTCATTGGATCATGTATAACTTAGTTATAGATTTTATATAGGCTTTTTAGGTAGTAATAGATATATTTTTTCTTTCTTATTATAGTTAAGAGTTGAATGGTTAATGTTGAATATAGAAACCAATTAGAATATTCTTGGACATAGATGGGGATTAACATGTATCGAATACATGATGATTTTGATTTATATGTATCCTTTTGTCGTAGAGAATGTCAGATGTTAGGCGCCACTTTATCCACCCTGTTTTGATCCTATGGCAAACATCAGCATCAATATCTCCATCCTTCTGTAGCATGAATCCTAGATAACGGATGGAGATATTTATACAGACGTTTGCCATAGGATCAAAGCAGGGTGGATCAAGTGGCGCCAAGCATCTGACATTCTTTGTGATAAGAGGGTATCACAAAAGCTAAAGGCAAGTTTTATAGAATGGTGATTAGACTCGCATAATATTGGCCTACAAAGAGATGACATGTCCAATAATTGAGTGTTACGGAAATGCGTATGTTGCATTGGATTTGTGGCCACACAAGGATGGATCGAGTTCAGAACAATGATATACGTGATCATCTAAGGGTAGCACCAATTGAAGAAAAGCTTGTTCAACATCGGTTGAGGTGGTTTGGCCATGTCCAAAGAAGACCTTCAGAGACACCAGTGCATTGTGGGGCCCTAAGCCGAGATATCAATGTGAGGAGAGGTAGAGGAAGGCCGAAACTAACATGAGGGAGGCAATAAAAAGATATTTAAAGGATTGGATATACCTAGAGATATTTGTTTGGATAGGAGTGCTTGGAAAGCAGCTATTGACGTGCATGAACCGTGACTAGGGGCTCATGTTGGGTTTCAACTCTAGCCTACCCCAATTTATTTAGGGCTAAGAGGCTTTGTTGTTGTTGTTGTTGTGGTGATTTATATGAATTTAATATAATATTTGAAAGAGGATTTTATAAAACACCCTTATTTTGGTTTTTAATTCAAATTTATTAGATTAATTTAGAGAGACTAAAATTCCTCCGATGGTTCATTTTTTTATGGCTGCTGTCATAGAATAAGATCCTAACAAGGGATAATTTAGCAAAAAAGAAGAAAATATAGGGTACTATATGTATCATTGGCGGATTTATATATATATATATATATAATATTAAAGAGGCAAAATTTCTCTCCACTCGTCTGGCCCTCTCTTAACTAACTTCGTGAATATAGAAACCGCATGTAGCCCTTCTCTTTTTTTTTATGACGTATACTTAAGGTAGTTTGGAAAGATATGAATACTAATCCAATTAGATCTCTCCGATCCGAATAATCTAAATATAGGATTCCTAATCAAATAGAAATTTATATCTTTTTATCTCTATATACCTTTTATACCTGATATTAAAGAGCCACAAGTTTCTGATTTGTAGCTTGTCTGTCGTCCAAAGCGAACACGGTACAAAAAACGAACATGGTAAAGTCTGTTGGCCAATCTGCTGCCAGTTGTTGCCTGTTGGCCAACGTAAAAAGCGTTCTTGTCTGTGTCCTGGATTCTTTTTTTTTTTCATTTTTTTCCGTTTCCACTTTCCTCACGTTTTGTATCTTGACCATTTTTATCCTTTTTTTTTGTCTCCCGTTATTCTTATATAATCAGAAAAAAATAACAATGATAGTATTACGTGTCTTTGATCTCTTTATCGTTTCCTAATAAATAGATATATTGTTGTCGCTAATAATCAATCTAGATCAGCAGATGGTACAACTATAATAATCTAAAATACTTTTGTCATCTAGGCTAACCTATATCTATTTACTGATAATTCTATACCTTAATAATATCGAAAAACTTTATCTTGTTTCTTCCTACACCCCTAACTACCAGGATATAACTCATACGAGTTAAAATAGCTTCTAGCGATGATGAATATAGGGTCTCGTTCCAATACGTATTGAGTTACGTCCTCCATATCTCATATTTAACCTGGACTTGTGAACCCCTCTAAAAACTTGCATCTAGCGATGATGTAGCATTCGGTTCATATACATATTGGACTCCGTTGCAACGCACGGGCACTTTTGCTAGTATATTATAATCATAAACTTTATTATATGTTGTATCTCAACATGTAAGCCATCCATTGTCATATGCAATTAAAGCCCACTAGCATCTATAATTATAAGTGAGATACATCGTCCACTAATATACATTTAGTTGTTTACGCTAGCGTGCCACACCATCCACCTAACATTAATAAATTATGATATTTCATCCCTTCATATAAGTAATTATATGTAGTCTAATTTTATTACAGATTATACGTAATTCCCGCATCAATGCGCGGGACAGCTTCTAGTTTTATTAAAGGGGGTGCCGTATAAAAAAATTTATATGCAATTCGTTAAACAACTGTAAAATTTGAAACATAATTCGTATTAAAATCAAAGAAAGTTTGAAACTTCCATAAACTACAATATAAATAGTTCAAACCCATACGGATAGTTCAAGAAAAGTGACTTAAATATTATTTGACTGACAATTTTTAGTGCCAATTAAATAAAAAATATGAAAGTACTAGTATTTTCTAAAAAACAATAAGAGACGATGATTGCATATGCGTGACATCATCGCATGTTTGTGCGGGGAAATTTGTCAGCCGCTAGATTAGGCGGAAGCGCTCGGCCGCCTAGCCCAAGAAGGCAGGAATGAACGTTCTTCTTCCTGTCTTCGTCTGCAACTTTCAGGGCCTCCTAACCTTGCTCCCATGGCTAGAATTTCTTGGGGGCGCTGAGGGGGCTCCATGGGCGCGGCCGTGGTGGGGGTGGGGGCCCCCATGGCAAATCCGTCCCTACGCGCGGCTGCGTGGCCCACGGTCACCGTCGCTGCAAAGAAAACCAAAATCCAAAGGCGCGCATTTTGTGTCATATGCTTAGGCTGCTGTCAAAGAAAAAAATTCAAGTTCTACTCACCACGTGCAAAAGTATTTGTCGTCTTCCGCTACCACTACTAGCATGCCTCTTGAGACTTGAGCACTGATCCCTCTGGTACTCCCTCCATATCGTAATTATAAGTCGTTTATGACATGAGTGTGATTACCAAGGAGTCATTAATTAGAGGGTATTTTTTCATGTCTGTCCATATTAAATACGCCTACGGGTGCATTGTATATGAGAACGAATCAGAGTTGGAGTGGCTAGCGCAGTGCTGTTAGTGCCCCAAGGTCCTAGGTTCGATTCCTGGTGGACACACATATTTTTGGATTTTGCTATTTTGCATGTCAATTTTGTATGCTACTGTGCGGAACGAGTCCGCCGTGCGCGCTCACGCCTGGGCGCGCGTTTGCTTCCTGTTTTGGCGCGGTACCATCGAGTCTGGGCGCTCGTGCCATTCAATTTTTCATTTTTTTGGCCTGGCGCTCGTGCATGCGACGTTGGGGATACCTGCAGACAGCTTAATAAAGCGCCGCAGTCCTTCAGTTCATCACGCCACATCAGTTCTTCATGCCACTTCGTTTGAGTAGTACTGAGCCATATCTTTAGCTTAGCATGGCTGATTTTGTATTTTTGATGGTAGGATTGGATGTTTTCCTCTTGTTCGTTATGAACCGGCTATGAGAGGCAATGAGAGAACCGGCCATGTCCGTGGAGACTTGGTTATGAAGCCCATTACATGGATCACAAGAGACGTGATTAGAGATTTCATAATCAACCAAGTGCTGCCGGCCATTAGAGCGAAATGGCCAAGAGAATATGTGGGTACACCAATATTCATCCAACAGGATAATGCACCCTCTCATTTGAAATTGGATGATCCAGATTTTTGCGAGGCCGCTAAGCTAGGAGGATTCGATATTCGCCTAATTTGTCAACCACCAAACTCTCCGGATTTCAACATTCTTGACTTGG